GGCTTTCCTTTGCCTCTTGAATTTTCTACATTGTTTGAGAGATAAAGCAAAAATTGTAACACTGACATGGGGTTCTAATTGTATATAAGGGAAATATTTATATATTTTTGCATATGTAAAATCTACATATAATTTTACATGAGTATTATATTACTAATGGGAGAATAAAGGGATTTAAAGAGGTAAAGCTCTTACATTTTACCCAAAAACTTAAAATATCAACAACAGTACACTGCAATGTTATGTATATATAATGTAACTCCTAGAGCTACCATTAAATAATATCTATACAAAGAAATACACTGAAGAACACTATAGATAAATCAAACTGGAATTCTAAAAAATGTTTAAGTGTACCCTTAAGAAGGAATAAAAAAGAAAACAGAGAAACAAAGGAAAATACAGAAAACAAAAAATAAAATGGCACCTCAAACATTACTGAACATAAACCGTCAAAATGTATCAATCACAAGACAACGGTGGTGGGTTAAAAAAAACAAAAACAAACCAACCATAAGAAAACTACCAGAAACTCACCTGAAATATAAGTGACTTGAGAGTGAAAGGATAGAAAATTATACACCATGCAAACATTAATTGAAGGAAAGCAGAGATGGCTATATTAGTGTCAGATAAAGTAGATTTCAGAGCAGAAAAACTACCAGGGACAGATAAGTGAACTACGTAATGATAAAAGTGTAAATCCATCCATCAAGAATACACAGGAATCCCAAATGTGTATGCACCAAACAACAGACCTACAAAATATATGAAGCAAAAATGGATGAAACTCTAAAGAGAGGTAATCTCAGCAATTTGGAAGGCCAATAGAAGGGAATCACTGAGATCGGGAGTTCAAGACCAGCCTGGACAACACAGTGGAACCCCACCTCTACAGAAAGAAATTTAAAAATTAGTTGGGCATGTTAGTGTGTACCTACAATCCCAGCTATTCTGGAGGCTGAGGCAGAAGGATGGCTTGAGCCCGGAAGGTTGAAGCCGTAGTGAGCCATGATTATGCCACTATGGGTAATAGACTGAGGCCATGTTTCAAAAAAAAAAAAACTCTAAAGAGAATAAACAAAGCTACAAGGGAAGATGAACTCAACAGGAACACTAACTAAAAGGTAATAATCAACATTTCAGAACAGTCCATTGAACAATAGCAAAATAAATGTTTAAGAGCCAGAGAATACTTACCAACATACAGATAGTGTCACAATATCTTACTATAAGTCTTGTAAAAGCACTTAACTTTTTAAACTATGTGTATGTTACCACAATAAAATAAAACCCAACTTCAGAAAATAATGTAGAAGCACAACTCCTGGTCAAGACAAAATGACACAGATCTATTTCTCTGCTCCTCCCCAGTAAGTCCAACTACAAACCCTGGTAATTAAGCAAGAGCCAATCAAAGGAGAGTTCTGAAAGAAGGTAAGAAGGCAGCATTGACTTCCTGAGACTCCTCTCCCCGATCAGGGGATACTGGGGCAACCACGCAGTAGCAGTAAGGGGAATTTGCCACTATAAGCTGCTGGCACAGGAAGACTCTGTGCCCCTCATGCCCAAGACTCCTCTCTCTCATTACAGAAAGCCAGGCAGCACCGACAAGTGCAACCCCGCCACATAAGGGGCCCAGTCCAGAAAACCTCTTCTTATCCATGAACTAAGGCTCCCTCCCTTGCTCCAAGACACCAGGGCATCGAGGTGGCACGAGCAAAAGGAAAGCCTTTCATTATAATGGTGCTAAGACTCCTCTTCTCCCACACAGAAACACTACAGCCACTGGGTCCATATGAATGGGATACAGCTGCAGCCAGTGCCCAGCCAAAGAAGCCTCTTCTTTCCCATGAACCTGACACTTCCATCTCTTAACAAGAGACACCAGGCCTAGGAAAATCCCCCTTTCCCCCTCACACAGCACCAACAGAGACCAGGAAGAGCCCCAATGGTACCACATAAACCAAGCAGACCAAAGATCACAGCACAAAGGCTCTGAGAATTAAAATGTCATTGGAACCACAGCCCACAAATGTGGTCCAGGACCTATGTGCTGAATCCAAACAGAGCGGCTGCGCACTAAAATAAAAGATATAAATAGAACCCAAATTCTCCTAATGTACAAAATACCCAAGAGACAATCGAAAAGCATCTGTCAAACCAGAAGCCAGAATATTCACAACCTGAATTAGAAAAGGCAATCACACAACACCACAACTGAGCTATCTCAGATACTGGCATTAATTATATGACCAGCATTTTAAAGCAGCAGACATAAAAATGCTTCCACAATCAAATACAAATTATCCTGAAACAAACAGAAATTATAAAACCGAGAAATATAATAAGAGAAATAAACATCACTGGATGAGATTAAGAATAGAGTGGAGATGACAGTAAAGAATTAGGGAACTTGAGAACAGATGGATAGAATTTACACAATCTAAACAACACAGAGAAAAGAAACAGGGAATTATGTAACACCAACATAAAATCCAACTTTCTTAACATTGGAAATCCAAATGGAGAGAAGACAGTAGGAACAACTCTTCCCATTATTTCTTCAACAACAAAGAGTAGTTGAAGAGATCATGGCTAAAAACTCCCTAAATTTAGTCAAAAAAAAAAAAAAAAAAAAAAAAAAAAAAAAAAAAAAAAAAAAAAAAAAAAAAAAAAAAAAAACAGCAAACATGAAATCCAAAGAAATCCATGACAAGACATAACATAATTAAACTTCTGAAAACTAAAGACAAAGTAAAAACTTGAAAACAGCGAAACAAAAATGACACATTATATACAGGAGAACATCAATTTGAGTGACAGTGGCATCCTAATCAGAAACCATGGATGCAAGGAAGCCGCACAAGATTTTTCAAGTGCCAAGAAAACAGTGGGCTAGCAGCCATGGCACACGCCTTAATCCTAACACTCTGGGAGAATGACGCAAGAGAATCACTTGACACCAGTTGGGCAACATAGCAAGATGCTGTCTCTTCAAAAAATTTTAAAAATTAGCCAGGCATGGTGGTACCTGCCTGTAGTCCCAGCTACATGGGAGGACTGCCTGGGCCCAACAGGTCAAAGCTGTAATGAGCTATGATTGCATTACCAAACTCCAGAGCGAGACCCTGTCTTAAAAAAAAAAAAAAAAAAATGAAGAATAGAAAAAGGAGAAATATGGGTACATGGTTCGTGCAATACACTATCCTTATCATCATGAGTTTTATAAACCATATTTGGTGAATGACACAAAAACTGTAAGACTATCTGATACCCAGGACATCATGATATTAAAGTGAGGACCTAAGTAAAAGAATGGTTTCCGCACTTCACTGGAAGTGGTGAAATACTGACAGCAATACACCATAGTGATAACTCACATATGTATATTGTAATACCCAGAGCAAGCACTATGAAAACTATACAAAGACCTAATCTCAAACACACTATACAGATACCAAAAAAGTGTCCGAGTAACCCAAAAAAATGGCAAGAAAAAAGAAACAGAGGAATGAGAATCAGAAGAAAAACAACAAATAATAAGTGGCACATTTATATTCTAACATATCCATAATTATCATAAATGTAAATGGTGTAAATGTACCATTTAAAAGAGAATGGCATAGTCAATAAAAAATGAGTATATGATCCAACAAGAAACTCACTTCAACATAAGTTGAAAGCTATACCACGCAAACATTAATCCAAAAAAAGCATAAATGGCGACACCAATATCTAATAAAGAAAATTTTAGAGCAAAGAAAATTACCAGAGACAGAGGGACATTAACAATGAAAGGAACAATCCACCGAGAAGATAAAGATCTTGAATGTTTGTGCATCACATGATAGTGCTTGAAAGTGCATGAGGCTAAAACCCACGGATTCAATCTGGGATGAAAACCTATTTTGAAACCGGTGGCACATTTCCAAATAATGGACTCCTAAAATCAAGCAGATTTACTAATACAATTACTGTTATAGGTAACACCAAGGAGGAAAAGAGAAATGGTAGCTCCAGAGAACCCACTTTCAACCAAGCACTGAATAAGGGCATCTTACACATTTTCTATTGTAATGGCCAATAGTCCCGTAAAAAAATTTTATCTAGCATTTTACAAATGAGAAACCATGGCTTTGAGTTTTAAAAAGCTACCCGAGAGCAAACAGCTAGTAGGTAAATCAACACTCAAATCAGCGTTATAACGTTCCAACAAGTACTTTGGGCTGTAGGTTATAGTCTCTCAAATAGCCGAAACCAAAAGTTATTCAAAAATTCAAATTCTGAAGCAACCACATATTGGATGAAATTATATTTTCTACAATTCCTCTAGAATGAAACTTCAAAAACTGTAAGAAGCAATATTCTCCTTTCTAAAATTTCTTTTAAAAAGCAGTCTTCTTTTCTTTGAATGAGAAGTTAAATATGAGCTACATCCAATCTCGGGCATAAAAGGTCTGTACACGAACTCTACCGCTAACCTGTGGCTTCGTTCTCAATCTCCGTTTCCCTTTCCTAAAAGCAGAATTCCTTGTCGACAAAAAGCACTTTGGGTGTATATATGTTCAAGTAAAAAGTGTGCTTAGTAAAGATACGAAAATGAACAGAAATTTCAATAAGGAGTGTTTTTAACGTAATTGAGAGTTGTATCTGTCACCTTCCCAATTCACACAGCTACACGGCTACACAAGTTTCGGAGACTGAATTATCTGAGCAGTTTAGGACTTTTCATCCCGGTTTACTTTAGGAGAGCTGCCACTCCTCAACACCCGACCGCGGCTCTTGCTCTCGTTCTGCCTCCTGCGCTCCGCCAGGCGTCCCGGGACGCAGGCGCTTGCCCCGGCCCCGGCCCCGACCCCAGCTCCCGGCGCACAGACAGGGGCGCGCGGGTAGCGACCCCAGACCCGCCCAGCTCCCGGCTCCCAGGGTGGGCGGGGGCCCCCGGCAGCCCGCCGGGAGCATCGGGGGCGGACAGGCACCGTCCCCGCCTCGGTTACCTGCTGTGCCAGTCGGCTCCTGGCCCGGGTCCCGCAGCGCTGTAGTAGGCCGCTCGTTTGCGGTTGGCTGCGGCCGCCGCGACGTTGCGCACCGGATAGAGCGGAATCTGGTCCGCCATGTTCCGGCCGCCCCTTTCCCGCCCCTCCCGCTTTCCCCTCAATTCACCACCTTTTCCCCGCCCTCTCCCTTCTGCGCCAACCCCAGCTGAAGTACCGCCCGCACGCCTTCCCGCCCTCGCCGAGCGGCGAAGTCCGATGGCGTCACGAACAGCGACGACGCGGCGCGGAAGGCGTGGCGTCCCTACGCCCCGCCCTCCTCTGGGCGTCGGCGCACGACGACGGTCCCAGGTGGCAAAAGCGCGGCGAGGGAGGCGGTGGAGTCCGGGCGATGACGTCACGGGCGGCTAAAGCTGGGGCGGGGCGCGTCGCATCCCGAGGCCCCGCCCCCGCCTCGCGGCGGGCCCATGACATCACCGAGCGGCGGGGCGGGGCACGCATGCGTCGCGGGCTGGCCTTCCGGGTGCGCGCGTGGTCCAGCACGTGGGTCCTGGCTGGTTCTGGCGCTCCCTGGTCTGCGGGTGCGTCCCGCTCTGAAGGGCCTCGCCGCGGTCTCCTGGAAGCTGGGCCGGGGACACGCGTGGGCGCGCGCGCGCGGCCTTTTAAGCGGTCCTGAGCCTGCGCCGCCGGGAGTTGTACGCGCAGCCCACGCGCCCTCCTCGCAGCGCAGCTTCTCGTTGCCGCCCCGCGTTTCTCCGGCCGGTCCTCCGCGCCCGCTTCCTGCCCGCGCCAGTGGAACCTCTGGTGTCCGTGCGTTCACTCAGGGTCGCGCTCACGGGCCGGGCCCCCAACTCGCCGCGACCCCAGTTGCGCCCACCGCACCGTGCTCAATTTCCCAGTTGCTCGATTCCTGCTTCCTCACTGCCGCTTTCCTGCTTTCCGTGGTTCTTGGTCTTTAGCCCGAGTCCACATCCCCCACCTCTAGGCCCACAGCCTGCTGAAACGCCCTGTAGGCGACTGTCAGAAACGAGGTGTTTACACCCTCAGTCTACACAGGAAAGCGAGACTGTATTGAACAAACGCGCGTACAGCTTTGGTTGGGTTTGTTTAGTGTCCTGTCCCAAGCAGGACAGCCCCTCCCACCTCCTTCACGATCTGCACCTGGACCCTGCAAGCTGATGCACCGCTCACCTCCCGTATTTCTGGTTTATTCACTTTGTGTTTTTTTAACCTGTTTCTGATATTCCATTGCCATGACTTATGGATTTTGTCTATGTGTTTGAAACACTGTTCAACATTAACTTATAAATGCTTTTTTCTTTTTTTCTTTGCTGTGTTTTTGAGATGGGGTCTCATTCTGTCACCCAGGCTGGAGTGCTGTGTTTTGATCACGACTCAGTACAGCTTCATCCTCCCAAAGTTCAAGTGACCCTCCCCCCTCTGCATGTATTATTTTTTCTTTATTAAAAAAGTCTCTTTTGTGAATATGAATATTCTTAATTTATTGTTGCCACTTTCTGATTGCCAGTTGGCTTCTCAGCTGCTTTTCATATAGCTTGGATATACACCACTCCATAGACACTAACTACTCTCAGAAGACACCAATGGCCTGATTGACTTTACCTGTTATTTCTCTACCTCACTTTCACTCAGCAACTGACGCTGTTCACACCATCTCTTGCCCACATTCAACAACAGATATTGATGACGATCTCATTCTCATAGCACTGGCACTGTGACACCATCTTCTCCTGACCCTCACTCAACACCTGACAGTGACAACATCTCCTCACACTCACTCAACACCTGACAATGTCAACACCATCTCCTCACATTCAGCAGCTGACGATGACAACACCATCTCCTCACCCTTACTCAACACCTGACGGTGACACCACCTTCTCCTCACCCTCGCTCAACACCTGACGGTGACAACACCATCTCCTCACCCTCAACACCTGACGATGACAACACCATCTCCTCACCCTCACTCAACACCTGACGATGACAACACCATCTCCTCACCCTCACTCAACACCTGACGGTGACACCACCTTCTCCTCACCCTCACTCAACACCTGACGGTGACATCACCATCTCCTCACCCTCGCTCAACACCTGACGGTGACATCACCTTCTCCTCACCCTCACTCAACACCTGACAGTAATAACACCATCTCCTGACCCTTGCTCAACACCTGACAGTGACAACAGCATATCCTCACCCTCACTCAACACCTGACAATGTCAACATCTCATCCTCAGTTGGCAACTGACAGTGACACCACCTTCTGACCCTCAATACCTGACAGTGACAACACCATCTCCTGACCCTCACTCAACACCTGACAGTGACAACAGCATATCCTCACCCTCACTAATCACTGACACTGTTTATGCTGTTTATGTCCTCTCCTCACCCACAGTTAATAATTCACACTGATAACACCATCTCCTCACCTTACTCAGTTTAATGGACTCACAGTTCCACATGGCTGGGGAGGCCTCACAATCATGGCAGAAGGCAGAAGGCACATCTTACATGGCGGCAGCAAGAGAGAGAATGAGAACCAAGCAAAAGGGGTTTCTCCTTATAAAACCATGAGATCTCATGAGACTTATTCACTACCACGAGAACAGTATGGGGAAACCACCCCCTTGATTCAATTATCTCCACCAGCTCCCTCCCACAACACATGTGAATTAAGGGAGCTACAGTTCGAGATGAGATTTGGGTTGGAACATAGCCAAACCATAACACTCAACAACAGGCAATTTTCACACCAGCTCCTTGTAATTTTTTCCTCCCTTGACATTCAGACTAAATCAACTGGCTCTCTTCCTTTACCTTTCTCTTGGAAACTCCTCTTTCATCACCTACCCACTTACATAAATAATACTCATTTTTCCCCTAATTCTAACCTCTCCTGGCTCCATTTCTAAATTGCTTATTCAGTTCCAATTGCATGCAAACATTAACAGTAGGGTTTATGGGGAATATCAGTATGACTAAGGCATGTTGTCTGCTCTCTAGGAAGTTTAGTAGGGGAGGGAGACACGTAGAGATACTTGTTGTTACTCAGGACACAATGAAACACTCCCTATAAGTCCGTAAGTATGAAGTTATACCAGTGAGTATCTTTTTTTTTTTTTTTTTTGACAGAGTCTCTGTTGCCTCGACCAGGCTGAAGTGCAGTGGTATAATCTTGGCTCACTTCAACCTCTGCCTCCTGGGTTCAAGCGATTCTCCTGCCTCAGCCTCCTGAGTAGCTGGGATTGCAGATGCCCTCCACCACACCCAGGTAATTTTTATATTTTAGTAGAGACGGGGTTTCACCAGGACAACCAGACTGGTCTCAAACTCCTGACCTGAAGTGATCCACCTGCCTTGGCCCCCCAGAGTCTTGCAATTACAGACGGGAGCCACCATGCCTATCCCCCGGTGGGTATCTTGACAGGAAAAAGATGGCATGCTTAAAGCGTTCAACTGAAAAGAGTTTAATTAAGGAGATTTTTGCAGAGGTATGGATGGAAATAAGAAAGCCAAATAGTTTTGATGAATTAAGTGAGAGAAGCAATAGTGGAAAACTGGTTTCATCCCTAGACCAAAGAGATTAGATGAGGAAAAGTGTTTACCCTGAATGGACTCCATCCTGCGTCAGAGCCCTGGGAGCAAGGCCAGGGCTTGCTCCTCAGGAGAGGATGAGCCTGCGGAGTAGATGCTGGCGGGCAGAAGCCACCTGCCACTCACTTCGTAAATTAAGTGTTTCTGAAACACAACCACACTAATCTGTTGACTTATTACCTATGGCTGCTCTCAAGCTGGTAGGTAGAGAGTTAAGAAGATGCTACAGAGACCATATCACCTGCAAAGCCTAAAATATTGACTAACTGGCCCTTTAGAGAGAACATTTGCGCATCCCTGTCATACTGGAAAGAGTGGGTGGCGTAAGAGGGACAGACAGGCACCGAATGTCTCTCTCACGGAGGAAGGCTCCATTGGACAGTGCCACCCTAGCGCAATCATGAAAAGAATAACAAGAGAATGTTTAACTACCAAGTTAATGGAAGGAGGACACCAAATAGTAAAAATACTTTATGACTTCAAGGAAGCCGTGAAAGGACTTTAAAGAAAAAAGAACACATGGAATAAGCAGGAAACAAAAAAGATGCTAGAGACAAAGCCGAAGGTCAGTTTATGTATATCAAATGCAAACAGATGAAACACCTCAGTAAAAAATCAGATTGTCAGATTGCATTAAAAACAAAAGCCAGCCGGGCGTGGTGGGTTACACCTGTAATCCCAGCACTTTGGGAGGCTGAGGGAGGCAGATGGCTTGAGCCTGGTAGTTTGAGACCAGTCTGGGTGACATGGCAAAACTCCGTCTCTATTTGAGACAAAAACAAAAACAGAAAAGAAAAAAATAAATAAAACCCAACTATATGCTTGAGATGTTAGATATCTCACATTAAATATAAAGACACAGAAAAGTTGAAAGTAAAAGCATAGAAATATATACGCTGTTCGACCACGGACTGTTGTAGCCTCTCCTTGAGGTAAGCTCTGTGAGTATCCTTCACCTTTTCCCAGATGAGGAGCCTGGGGCACAGAGGGTGAGGCTGTCTGCCCGGGTCACAGAGCTCACAGCTGCACAGCCAGGCTTCAGCCCAGGGGCCAAAGGCCATACTCAACCCCAAACCTCAAGTTGCCATCTGAGTTTTAAGAAGATGACACTGATGGATAGGATTTGGAAGTAAGGCAAAAAGGAGAAATGAATGTCATTTCCTGTCATGCAGAGGGACAGTACCACCCAAAGATGAGGGGAAGGTACTTTGTTCACCTCACAGCTATTTGATGGAAGTCTTTGACTTAGCGAAATTGCATGTTAACTTGAAGATGTTTGCCAGTGGAGGTACAAATCATTTCTTCTTCATTGTATATTAACCACATTTGATCTTCTGTATTCCTGATGCTCTGGCTACCAGGGGTGAGCCTGTCCTGCCTATGCTCGTCTGTTCTTAGAGATGGCAGATGACTCACCTGCAAGCACACTTTCACAGGCAAGCTGCCTATCCTCCCAGCCACCTTCATTGATTGGATAAGCCTTGCACTCCAGGCCACCGTGCCCCTGCCCTACTTCCCATGGGGCCAAGTCAGAGTCAGGCAGGACAGTCCCTCATGCCGGGGCCTGCTGATCACATCAGCCAAGTCCAACCTGCCCGGTTTGCTCTCCCCACCTCGCCTCGCCCG